ACTGAGTGTTACACGAAAACAATGGATTGTGGATCACCACATCGAAAACCAATGATGTATTGTATGGTGACTAACATAACATAATAAAATTAAAATAAAAAAGTTAATGGGAGATTTAAATGAGTTAATGTTTGTACTGGGCTTAGCATAGTACCTGGTACACAATTGCTCAATAAATCTATTATTGTGATTAAAAAAATAATAATAAATAAAAAATAAAAGCAAGCTAGAGAAAAATGGCCACACCCCATCATTAATCCTGGAGATGGAGCTCTAATGAGAACTGCACCTAGCCAAAGAGTTGGGATGGGTTGGAATGGATTGTGCGAAAGCTCAGGGAGGCTGCGTTGTGGGTTAATTTGGTCTGTTGTGCCCAGAATAATCCTGGTCCCAAGTGAAGCCTGTTGTGCAGGCAGACTTCTCATCATGGCTGCTGTTAACATCAGACACCGCCTTGATTCTGTGGTGACCAGAGGGGTCAGTTGCCTATTCTGTGCAAAGAACAAACAGGCTGGTGGACTTGGCAGGCTTTGCTACCGTGACATTTACTTTTGGTTGAAACAAAAGTACTAGAAGATGGAACTAACCAAGAAGACTAAGTGGCTTTGTGACATCCAGTTTGAGTTTATACCATCTCTCTCTTTTTTAAGATTTTATTTATCTTAGAGAGAGAGAAAGGGCGAGTGAGCAGGGGGAGGAGCAGAGGGAGAGGGAGAAGCAGACTCCCTGCTGAGCGTGGAGCCCAACGCAGGGCTTGATCTCACGACCCTGAGATCACAACCTGAGTTGAAATCAAGAGCTAGACACTTAACTGACTGAGCCACCCAGGTATTCTTTATACTGTCTCTTTTGAGTTTACACAGTTCTTTGGGTTAGGTCATACCCAAGAATCCTTCCAGAGGTGGGAGAAGGGACATAAGACAGGCCAGGATCTCAGTAACTATCAGTGATATCCAGTGTTCCAACACTGGAACAACACTGATAATGCATTAAACACTCTTACACAGAGACTGCATGCCCACCTCAAGGTGGCCAACTCTGAAGTGGGATTCAGTTTTCAGGTTGTCCAGACAGACCACCATGGGCCCTGGCAAAAGCTAAAGAATACCCTTGCATGTGTACGCATATTGCAGTGGACGAACATGTTTACCATTATCAAACACCAGACTTTTATCCCCATGTCATGGATGAGAATACAGAAGCATAGACAGAGACTTTTTAAGAGATTTTCCATAGTACCAAATCAAGTTCAGGGCTCTCTATACCAGCCTGTCTCTCTTGCTATTAGAAAACTTCCCAAAGCATAAGAAATTAACAGCCATGTTCAGGGCTAGCAGGGGTGAGGGAGTGATATCAGATTATTATGGTAACCCATAGTCTTTAGAACTGTTGATCAAGGGGCACCTGGGTGGCTCAGTCGGTTAATCATCTACCTTTGGCTCAGGTTATGATCTGACTCCCTGCTCAGCGGGGAGTCTGCTTCTCTCTCTCTCCCTCTGCCCTTCCCCCTGCTCATGCTCGCTCTCTTGTGCTCTCTCTCTCTCTTAAATAAATAAAATCTTAAAAAAAAAAAAAAAAAAAGAACTGTTGGTCAAAAGTAGGAGCCGAGAGCCTGCAGGACCTTAATGGGCAGATGTAAGATCCTCTGCTGGAGGATTAGGATGGTGAAACAAGTCAGTGAGAGCAACAGTATAAACAGGGGAACAGTAACAAAGGCATTTTCCTGAGAACGTTGGTATCATTTTGTCTTATGACTTAACTGCCTCTCCCCCACCACCTTGCTGCCATCGTTTACTTCTGAGGATGCATGTACACCCGCATGGGGTTTTCCTGCCACTCAGGCAAACAGGCCAGGCTGTTCGCCACTTCCTTCTGGACAGGCCAGCCCCAGGCCTCAAAGAATGGAGCCAGATTCTTCTGCACCTTTTCAGAGAACTTCTTCACCCACAGATTCATCTTGCCATCCTTGTCTTTGGGGATGCCAGAAAGCGTTTGGTACTCAGCAAAGAGCTGGGTGAATGGCTCCCACCCAAAGGCCTCCTGGAGCTGAGAAGAGAGAGAAGGGACAGGATGAGGAACCAGTTTGTGGAAGTACCTGCAACTTGCACGTTCAAAGTGTATTTCAGTTATAGTGATTCCTTCCCCTTGATCATTCATGAGCTTCCCTCCCATGATTTGCCTCTGTGTCCCTACCCTACCCTTGCACATAAATATAATCCCGTTGGCTCACTCCACCTCTTGGCCACAAAACCTATAACCCTTCTATTTAGTAGGGGACTTCACAGGGAAGCTAATACCTGAAAAGGCATAAATATTCAACAAATGAGTTATTATAATTATCTCTAATTTAAAAAAATTATATTCCCAGATACTAAATGTTTTCCTAGGCATCAGACGGGTCTGAGCCTGACTGAGATGGGAAACCCTTATATCTCACATGTTTGGCCTTTGGGACCCTAAAGGCTGAGAACTTCCAACACTTTGCAGACATAATAAAATCCCTGTTTTTATACAGCCATTTCAGATCTGTAACTATTTTCAAGGCTACTATTTTGCTCTGTGGAGCACTCCCTTTGGGGCAAAACAGGAAGAAGCAGGCATATCACAAGGGGCTCAAAAAGAGAGTGACTCATGTTCACAGAGGGGCAGCCCACCTGAAAGCCACAGCCAGGAGGCCCTTGTCAGCTAAGATAATAGAGGTCTAGAATGAGCAGGGATCCTGGGGTGTCCCAGACAACTCGCCCTTTTGTGGAGGAGAATTCTGACTCTGGGGTGTAAAACCTAAGGACAGATGACATCTGGGGAACAGCTTTGACAACTCGGAAATGTTAATGTTCAGAGCAGTTTGGGGGAGACGACAGGGCTTTGTGCATATTTCACAGGAAGCCCACCTGCTTCAGGACTTTGGTATTCTCCCATTGGGTTGGTTGGTTATTCATTTATTCATTCTAAGAACATTTCAGGTTCAAGTGGGATGACTGGAGTCAGAGAACCTTGACAACAGTTATCTCCTAAAAAGCCTCTTGTAATGCAGTTGTCCTGGAGACACACCACTGTTATCACGAAGGGACGAAGGGATGCAACACTCACTTGATCCACAAAACTAAGGTGAAGAGAAACAAAGCACAACAAAACAACACCCACTTCTGGAGCACTTATTAGGAGACCATAGTCAAAACCAGTGAGTGGAAGCGCTGGGCTCCAACCTCAGGAATGACTAACTCAGAACTTCTGCTCATGACCGGTAGAACAGTAAGCTGTAGTTTCTCTACTTGGTTTCCAGAATACTTTTCATTTCCTCTTACTTAACATCACAAAGTACAAGGGGCCTGGGGAAGGTGTTATTTCCTCAGTCTTAGAGAAGTCCCACTATGCAGTCAGGTCCCCCATGCCCAGGCTGGAGGGGGTACGAAGTGGGTCCAAGGATGCTACATGATGGAGGGGTCTGCTCGCCCTCACCTCCCTGCCTTTCTGCTCCATACCTGTAGGTATGTTTCCAGAGCTGTCCACACATTCCAGTCATGCAGGGGCGCTCCCTTTCCCAGGTGCGTTATGATTCTCTGCTTTCGTTCTGGAGGGCTCAGAGCAGGGTGGGCCTTAGCCCTGGGGATGCCCAGGACCGTTTCATGCACATAGACAGACCAGAGGTTGCAGGTAGCCTCAGTGGTGTGTGGTGGGAACTCCCACTCTTGTTGCTGCTGGTTGTGACCCAGCTCATGGATGGGTCCCCACAGACCCGTGCTCCTCATGCCTGCCTCACTGATGAGCTCTTGCACCGACTCCAGGTGGCACATGATGGGGTATCCTGAGTGCATCCAGCCTGGGAATGCAGAAGGAAGAGATGAGGCATGGCGGAGGTGGGGGGCACCCAAACCATTTCCCTTCATGCCTCTCCGCTGGGTAACTTTTCCTCACCATCCTGGCTGCCCCCAGTAATGCCCGAATCTCCATGCTGATTAGAAAGTAGATGGCTTGCTCTGCTTGGTCAGAAACTGAACAGTCTCCAGCCCCCTTCCCAGCCTTTCATGCCAGGGTTATGCCCTCCTCCCCGCTCTGGCCCTGAACAAGATGAATATACTTTACATAGCCATTCTTACTATGGTTCAGTGCTTCATTTTGTGTGAGTTTCCTGTGACACTATGTCCTGTGTCTGGATTTGAGATCCCTGAGGCTACAGGTATGTCAGTTCTTCTGCCATGTAAGCCACCGTTGTACACATTTATGCTCTTTAGCAGAGATAATCTTCTCCTTTTTTAAAGAGAAGAAAACTGAGGTCCAAAGGAATGTTCTCTATGTCAGAACCACATTTCCTTATTTTTCTTTCATGTAAACCAGTCAATACTTAACATAAACTTCTTTCCTTACTCTCCTTCCATTGCCAACTCTGACTTCTGTTTGAAGGAACATTGCTGTTTCTCCTTGAAACAATGAAGAGATGGCTCATTGCTGTGAACTCCTAGTAGCATTTTTTTCCTGAGATTGTTTTACCATCCTGTGAAATCTCACCTTGTAGATGTAAATGATTCACCTTTTCATATGGGAACATCTTTGCACCCCCATCAAGGTCTGCGTCTGTTATGTCTTTTTTCCTTTACTGGTGAGATTATGCCTTTCACATATGGGGCATTAAAAAAGACAAAAGAATGAAAAAATGGCATCCACTGACTAGGAGCACGCACCAGCTGAGATCTGCACATCAGCAACAATCCTCTCAGGACAGCAGAAAGGGAAAGGCCGGGCTGCTAGCTGGGCTATCGCATGCATCATCTCATCCCAGAGGCAGAGCACCGGCTCGGGGTCCTCCAGGGCTCGCAGGTTTGCAGTCGGCACCGTCAAGATGATATTGTCTGTTGCCAGCTCTCCCCAGGGAGCCGGGCTCTCCTGGATACAGTTCTTCCAGTCCTCCAGAGATGTCTTACCTGGGAATAAATATTGTGGGCCTGTCACCCATTTCCCCAACTTACCTTGAACTCCAGGAGGAGGACACCGAAATAATGAACTATTAACATGTGGGTCTACATGCTATGAAGTGAAGGACTGGCCTCTTGGTTCTGCCGGAAGTCTCAATGGACATGGTATTCCATAGCTCCCACCTCTGCTTACATCTTGAACGGTTCTTCCCCCCTTCTGTCCGCCATTCCCTACCCTACCCTTCCTTAGCAACTGGCCCATAACTATGGTGGCATCCCCAGCGCCCCATCTTCCCTCAGCATTCAGTCCACTCACCCAGCTTGTAGTACGGGGCAGGCACAGCCCTCTTGATGGTGACAGATATGGGGCCCAGTTTGCTGCCCTTTGGCACGATGACATAGAGAAGGCCACCCCAGAGGCAGGAGATGGGTAGTATGGTCCTGTCCATACAGCACTGACGAGTCACCACAGGGGCTCGAGACAGCTTGCTGGCCTTGGCCAAGTTATCAGTGTGGCAGCCAATCTGTACCTGGGGAGGTGATTCCACCATATGTAGGAGGAACTAGGTCCCTATGGTGTGTGTGTGTGTGTGGGGGGGTGCTGTGTGTGTGATGGGTGAATGGCAGGTACTAGAAAAACACCAGCTTCCTCCTTCAATGAGCTATGCATGGAAACCTATGACATTTTAGTACCCCAAAAGTCATCGGGACTGAAAGGTATGTGGAACCATTCTTCCAGGGATTTAAACAGCTTTACAATGGATTGTCACCAGACAGACCAGGCGGGATAATCCTGAGGCTGATACTGACTAGGGCCCCGCGGAGCCTCTGTACCAGGTGGAGTCCGGGCTCTTGTGGCAGGACCTACACCAGTGTGGTGATTCCAAAGCCAGGATGAGCCAGAGGGGATACCGGTGACCCTTTGTACACAGACAGGAGACCACCCATCTAGAGGCGGCGGGATCTGGCCTGAGTGGGGAGGACTGATTCTCACTTCCCCCGTTGTCGAGGGCTCCCCTTCCTGGTCAGGTGGGTTGAGGGCTGTTTTGTCCGGAGTCCTGGGGTTGCTTTTCTTAGGTTTCATGTAAGCGAGCTCCAGAAAGGAGGCTGACACAGAAGACACCCTGTAACAGGAAGTGACCCTCAGAGGTAAGGCAGGACAATTTTAATTCTGCCTCTAGGGCCTATTTTTGTGGTCAGATGAAGCACACCCTTCAGGTGTCCAGGTAATGATGTACAACGCAGAAAGGCTGTGTGCTGTTGGCCAAGCGGGCGAAGTCCTGAGGATGTGACAGGTGCTCCTGGCCCCCCTCATATCCCCGTGGGGGGAAGGGGTAAAATCACCCCACGTGGAAATCCAGGGGCTTAGGTTCAAGTACCTGAAATTAGCTCTGGCATTCAGTCCCTCCCTTAGGCTCCCCGAAATTGAGCTGCTTCATCTGTGAAATCTGTGAAATGGGCAGAATAGTCCCTTCCTGGCTTCCTGGTAGGACTGCTGAGAGCTGAGGAAAAGGAGGTGGCTCTGTGGTTTGGGGTGTCGGCAGTGGGGGTTCTGGCCTTACCTTCAGGCCGGCAGAGGCTGCGGCTTCAGACAGTAAGACTTCTGCACTCTGTCCACCTGGGAGGTAGAGCCCGGTGCTCACCCAGGCATCACAGTGGCCTGACAAAAGCCATAGGAAAGGCTGAGTTCTTCACTCACCTGCCTCCGCAGCACCTGGAGCCCCACAGCCCCTCCTGGAGGCACAGCCCCTGCCCCGCCTCCCTCAACTCATCCATGCTTCCGGCATGCATCCCTCCAAAACCCTCAGCAGAACCCCAACCCCGTCTTCCCAAAAGGACACGACAGACAGTGAAGCTGGCCCACCTGAGCTTCAGTACCCGCAGTGTCCTGTGAGCCCGGGAACCCCACCTTCCCCCGGGTTCTGATGCTCTGGCCACACCCCTCACTCCGTACCTGGGTTGCTCCCATCGATCTCCACAGTGATGGGGTGTCCTGAGCTGCAGGTCCAGGTTCCAAGCTCCTGCACCAGCTGGGAGCAGTCAGTCCCAGAGTGTGCCAGCTCCGTGGCCAGGCAGAGCAGTGTAGCCTCAGAGGAGTCACCAGCCACAGGGTGCTCCCGGCTCACGGCTGGGAGGCCTGACAGACGCAGCGTCTCACTCAGGAGTCGGTGCAAGGATATGTAAGCAGGGACCCCCTCTGCAGGGATCTGTAGGAAGGCTGCGCCATCTGCTCCCAGCTTTGCCAGCCAGTGCTTTTCCAAGTTCCCAGCCCCATGGCTCAGTGCAGCCTGGAAATCGGACAGCGCCTTGCGGAAGTGGTAGCTCAGCATCTCGGGGGTAGGGACAGGGAAACAGCCTGCGTCGAGGGTCTGAGCTAGGATGCTGAGGCCTAAGCCGTTGAGGATAACGTTACCGGGGAAACCAGCCAAAGCAGAGCGGCCTGGGTTCTGGGAGGCCCACCACCAGGCCTGGCCCCCGATCAGCAAGCCCCCACCCTCGGCCACAAACTCCTGCAGCTGCTTAGCCTCCTGGTCACTGTAAGCCACACAGCAGTAGACACGCAAGTCATGCGTCAGATGGGGCTGCAGACTGCACTCCAGGCCACGCTCTGACAGGAGGGCACACAGGTTTTTTAGATGTGTGTTCACCCCCAATTTGCCCGTCTGGCCTCTGGCCAGCCAGCGCACAGCATTGAGCAGAAAGGGCCCCAGTTTGGGTGCACAGAGGATGGCCTCATGGGCAGCCAGGACCACCCGGCCCCGGCCATAGCGGGCAGCCGCCAGGAAGCAGCCGAGCGAGGCGTCTAACCCCAGAGGGAAGGCGAGGGCCCCGTGCACCAGCAGCTGCGAGGGGACCCCTCCCGTCTTGATGTCCAGCTCTGAGATCCCTTCCAGGAGCTGCTGCTGATCCTGCCTGAGATCATCCCCACACCTGCAAAGTGACAGGGGGACAGAGGGGCTACAGTCAAGTCAAAGAAGCACTGAAACAAGCTCACTGGATGGGGAAGTCTGTGTGGGGGTGCACAGACGACCTCGTTCACGGCCCTCTCGTTCTCACTAATAACGGCTAGGATTGGAGGATGTGATGCCATTTACTTTTTTGAGTCTAAGGCAGATTTTTCCACCTTTTAACAACTAACTGATGGCATAACCTTGTCTAATTGGCAGTGTTTGCTCTTACTTCGTGACACACAAGATAATGGTGCTTCTTATAACCGACGTGGTCACAGACTTGATGAGATACTGAGGAGTGTGGTAGCGGCACATCTTAAAGCCCACATTCTCCAAGTAACCCTTCCAGGAATTCTTCCCATGCTAGTCAACTGAGTGGTGGATATTCTGGCTTGACTTTCATGTCCTTTTAAGTAATTACACATATAGGGGCGCCTGGGTGGCTCAGTCGTTAAGCGTCTGCCTTCGGCTCAGGTCA